GTTAGAAAAAAATGAACACACATATTGACAGATGATACAAATATGCTAAATTTTGAAAGTTCTGTCTACTTGGTGTTGACTTAAGCATTTTAAAAAAACCTTACGTTTGCTTAAAATTTTCCATAATGAGGAGGTAGAAAAAAATTAAGACAAAATACATTCTTTTGCACTTAATAGAAAATTAAGACTGTAGCCAATGCAGGTACTGGTAAAATCATGATCTATTTCTGGGAATAAAATTGACATAATGTGAAAACAGTTTGTTGATATGCATTAAAATTTTAAATTATAAAATTCTTTCTAAGCAATTTTATTTCTCAGGATTTGTGTATTGGAAAGGTTGCAAAAAGGACTTTGAAATGTTATTTTTTAAATTCCATTGTTGTATATAACTAGAGAGATGCCAATTTCTATCACAAAGGATCCACATGTATCTTATGGTGCATCAACACAATATGATCTAGCCATTGAAACATGGGATTGTCCCTGTTCTTTGCATTCATTGACAGAAAGGAAACTCTGTTAAATATTATTGAACTAAAAGGGAAGATTGTAAAATGTCATATAGCAAACAACTCCTTAATATTGTGAGTGTGCATGTTTGTTTAGAGACTGCCCGTCTCTACATAGTTGATGCGTAGTGGAATGCATGTCTTATGATTGTGGGGATCGTAAATATTAACATGCATATTGGTGCATTTTGTTCGGCGTGAACCGCTGCTCAGCTGTCGTTAATGCACTCATCTAATTCATGTGCACTTTTTTTCCACAGAGGAAAGAAAGGATAACCAACACATCATACACTTTGCTTCTGTATTCTCTTGTATAATAAAACTCTTGGAATTCATGTTCCCTATGGGCGTAGCACTGACTGAGTATCCTTCATTTTGGGCTCATTATAGCAACTAGTTCTTTTCCTTTTTTTATTAATAAAGATTTATTTATTTGTGAATACAGAACTGGGGTACAGGCCAGAGGAGCAGGGGGCAGTGAGGCGATTCATCAGAGACAGAGTGGGGAGCAGGACAGGCAGATCGACTAAGTACACTGCTGAGGGGAGCAGCAGGGCAGGGTCAGGAGAGGTCTGCCGCACCACCGGGTCACTTCCGGAGCAGGTGGGGAGGTGGCTTTAGCTTCTTAGTGCTGTGCTTCAACCGGCTGTGCCACCAGGGAGGGCTGCAACTAATTCTTTATGCAGAGTGCTACACTGGTGCTGGCGTGCCCTTCCCTTGGCTCGTGGGTGGTTCCTTACTCCCCAACAATGTTGCTCACATGTCACTGTTTCGTTGGAACTTTCTGTCTGCACCTCCACTTGCCACCCTTTCTGCTCCTTCTTTAGTCATTTATCAGCATTTCTTGCAAAATAATCGATTGATCTTTCATTTCATCTCTCCCCAAAAGAATATTAACCCCCATGAGGATGTGGATTTCTGTTGGCCACATCCTCATGAGGAAAACCTTGACAATTTTTAAGTAATTGCCTCGACAATTAACTTGGCATGTGATGAGCATTTTTAATAGTTGCTGTATGAATGAACATTCTAGAGCTATTCTAGCTATGTTGTTTAGACAACTATGAAAGGATAGATGTCCCTCCTATTTTACTGAGATCAAGGAAGAGGTTGTCACACTCACAGCTTTCCTTTAAATTCAGACTTCTATAACCTCCTTAAAATAACACATAGCAACAGGTACGTACATACTCTGAGCACATTAGAAGAAACGTAGAATTCTTTTCTACTAGGCCTTGCAGGAGTAATCATTTACTTCCAACCTGCATTTGGCTTCCATTTGTATTGAATTGCCAGCTTAGTTTCAATACCTATAGATTTCAGTTACATCTTTGAATGTGCATTTAGAACATCTTAATCATTTCTAGCTTTGGATTTCAAGCAAGATACTCGTGGCTCTCCCATTTACTTTAACTTAGAGGCTGTTTTTTAGGGTGGGGCAATCAGAATGCATGCATTTACCAGTTCAGTTCACTGTCTTATACAGGTGTGGCTGGAGGCACCCCGAAAACAGTTACAGTAGTAACATCACAGATTTAACATTTGCACTGATTGCAAATCACAGTAGTAACATCACAGATTTAACATTTGCACTGATTGCAAATCACCATAACAAAGATTTAAAAGATGGACAAAAGTTAGAAATATTTTGAGAATTACCAAAATGTAACCCAGAAACCCAAAGTGAGCACCTGCTGTTGGAAAAATGATGGCCCCAGACTGGCTCTGTCCAGAGTTGCCATAAACCTCTGGGTTCATAAGAAAACAGTGTCTGCAAAATGCAATGGCTTAAGTCGTGCCTGTATGTTTCCCCTGTGCATCCGCACCTGTGAGCAGGTTTCATTTGTGAACTAGGCACTAAGAGATTTGTGACAGTAACTAATGCGAAAATGGGATAGTAATTAAAAATTTAAAATATGTGAATGTGATTTCTCTCCCCAAATACCTGCTGGTACATAGTTTTTGGACTGTGTTTGGTCACAGCTAATTGAAACCATGGAAATAAAATCATAGATAAGGATGGGGATGCACTATAAATGGCTAGATATAGAGGCTGATGGAGGTGGAAGAGACAAAGTTAAACCCTGAAGCTTGTGACCCTGACTTTGTGAGTTCCTGTGTTTGCAAGTGTTTTTTGATAATGTTTCCTCACCAAAGGTTATGATTCTATATTGTGCTGTGTCTTTTTATTTTTTCATGTCTATTTTACTTTTTCAAATTTATTATATATATATATATATATATATGTTACATTATTCTTAATTTTGTACATTTTTTTCACCTCAGTTGTAATCCCCGTGGACTTCCCACCACCACATCACCCATGTGCCATCATCATAGTCCTTTGTGCTCTTGTCCCTCTCCCATTTTGATCCTGTTTCCCTCTCCTCCCCAACTAAAATGTCTCTAGTTTATAGTTGTTGATGTTTGTTTTTACTTTATTACAACTCCGTCCATGTTGCTGCAAATGGCATGAGTTTTTATCTTTTTTGATTGCTGAGTAATATTCCACCATGTATATGTACCACATCTTCTTCATCCAGGCATCTATTTTGGGGCATTTGGGTTGATTCCACATCTTCTCTATTGTAAATAGAGCAGCAATAAACATAGGGGTGCAGGTGTCCTTTTGCATTACTGTTTTTTTTACCTAGTAGTGGAATTGCTGTGTCTTTTAAGAGTCAGTAATGAGGTCACAGTCCTCATCTGTTGTAAGCAAGCAATTGGTGAACTGCCTGGGTTTGAGGGAAGGGTTGTGGGAAGTAGATCTAGTTTTAAAATTATATGAATTTTTATCTAGTTATGAAATTTTGTGGAGAGGGGTAGCCTACATTGACTTATTTTTTTAAATATCTGGAAATGAGTGGCCTCTAAACAACTTGCACTCTAATGACAAGTTATGTCCAGCACTATATTATCAAATATCTCAGTAATGTAAATTTTGCTGTAATATTTGCAGAGGGTAAAGACAGATGTACTGTCCATTAAGAAACTGCATCTGAAAAAATAGAGACCCAGCTTTAATTATGTTTTTAGTGGTATATGCAAAAGTTTTTTTTTTAAGTGTGTCACGTCTCCATGATGAAGTGTTCAGGGTATTTCTTTACAGATTCCATAAATTGGGAAGTAAAACTCTCTTTACTGTTAGCAAGATACTGACAAAGATTTAGGTCTGTAAAGCTATTTAGTTAGGCTAACATACTCTCTCAATGCACTTTTTCCCTTACTAGTTAAAGAGAGTTTGTACCTCCTATGTACTATTTACATTACAAATGTAATACAGACCTTTATTGGGTTTTGCAAAACTGATGTCTTTCTTGGAAACCTTTGGAAAATACCTTTTGTTCCCCCTGTCCAGTTCATCTTAACTAACCAAGACATGTAGATGTTTTGAATTTGAAAGGCATATTAAATTGGCATATTATCTGTGCCCAAGCACTACAAGTATTTAGCTCAAGTTGAGATTAAAAAAATCAAAGACATGTTTATGTACTTTATCATGGCATATTAAGTTAGCATATTATCTGTGCCCAAACACTATAAGTGTTTAGCACAACTTGAGATTAAAAAAAATCAAAGACATATTTATGTACTTTATCATTTTTCATGTGCTGTGAGTTTAATTTGTCTTTCTGAACAATGTTTGTAAAGCATATCAACCTTTTTGACCTTCTTCTCCAAGACAAGTACTATGTGGATCTTAATAAGAGGTCACGCTTCCTGGACTGAGGGATGTATCAACAGAAGACAGATGGTGTGGAGATGACTCTGATGATAATTCATTTTCAGCTAGTCATGAAGATATTTTGATTACAGTGTGTTTAAGTAATTATAATCTGCAATGTTAGTTTTGCTGGAAAGGGAACACATGGAAAACAAGTTACGTATTATTCATGCCTAACAAAGGATGCACTGTAGTGTAATGATTTTGATTCCTAATGTTAGATTAGAACTGGAGGGGTTGAAAATATGTCATACTGCAAGGTAAGTCAATTAAACATAGACCAAATAAAAAAAGTAACTGCATACTTTGGAGGCATAAATATTTGTTTTGGAAAATATTTAGATGTTACTATATGAAAGGAACCAGTATTTTTACTTCTAGGTAACAGTCTGTGTACAGCTAATTAAAAAATTACACGGCTTGATTTTAAGTTTATGTGAATTGTAATTATCATGGAACCTGCTTTTGGTGCCATGGATCTAAAACTGAGATCAGAGAGCTGACGACTGAACAGCATGTTATGTCCCTGCTGTTGTTAAAAAAAACATTCTGTAAAATAAAGCACAAACAATAACATCACCTCTTCATGTGACAGCTGCAATATACAAATATCAAATTATTAAGTTCTACAGCTAAAACCGGTGTCATAAGTCAATTATGACTCAAGAGACATCCAAACATAATCACAAGAAGAAAAAAATGAGTCAGGTTTTGTGACTAGACTAAACAAATTTTCATCCTCACTGTTTTGGTTTTCACCCTAGGATCATTGACCGCTTGGATGGAGTTCGCTTGTTGTGGTCCTTGCTGAAAAACCCTCACCCCGACGTGAAGGCCAGCGCAGCGTGGGCCCTCTGTCCCTGTATTGAAAATGCAAAGGTAACAAAAGGCTACAAATCAATTCATTCTTGAGTCTGTCATGCTAGAATGAATAATGTCACCACAAGTCACTGACAGCTTTTGACCGACTTTTGGTCAGATTTATCGGATGACAAATAGCGCTGAGCATTTGCGCCAAAATCATCTGCGAGCAGTGCTGCTCCCTGGTTTTACCTGAGGTGAATCAAGAGGAGGTGACGTTGACTGTTCTTATCTCTTGGGTGATAAAACTGTCTCCATTTACCTGCTACTGTCAGAAACACCTGATGGTTTCAATCTTATTTAGAGTTCTAAGAGGACAGTGAAAGAACACCAAGTTCTTTGTTACCTTGAAAAGTCACATACTTTCATAAATCTCACTTTCCTTATCGGTCAATAAACACTGGATAAAAATTTATAGGAGGGCCTGGCAGGAGAGCAGCAGAGTGCAGGCCTGGGGCTTGCCTCTTCCAAAGATTCAAAACCAAATTACTACAGAACAAAGTCAACAACCCCTGAAAGATGAGTAGATAACACTAGGAATAGCGGTGCAGCAGGAAGGGGTTGGAGAAATTGATCAAGCTGCCGTTTAAGCTGGCAGAGGGTAGTGCCACAGTGCGCAGGGGGAGGGGCGGCCTCTGTGCAGATTGCCTGTGCTGTGAGTTCAGGGGCACGCACACTGTGGAGACCCAGGCTGTGCTGGAGAGGGGTGTGCACAGAGCTGTTGTGCAGAAGAGGGCACACTGCCAGACAACGCTCGTAGGAAAGGTACAAAGTGAAGACTCTTGGCTCAAGCCTAAGTCTCCTCATCTAGAACAGCTGGAGAGTGGGGACACTCAGATAAGATGAGCTGTGCTTGTCACCAAGATGCTATTATTTGCAGCATCTTTAAAGCTGTGCTATTTGAAATACCTGCCTTAACCCTACCCAGAACAAGACCAAGGCAGCCCAGTGTGGGCTCTCTCTCCTGGATCCCAGTAACAGCGTCGAGCACCCCAGGGCAAAGATCCATATTGAAAAGCACAGCGAGCCATTCCCAGCTTGTGATCCTGTTTCCACCTTAGGCCTTGGCCAGTGCTGACATATTTCTCAGCTGTACCCTGAAGCTGAGGCTGGCACCAGACTGTGCAAGGTGATTTGACTGAGGAGGAGCTGGCCTGAGGTCTCCATCTCATAGTTCTACATGATGCAATTATCAAGAGGTTAATATCCAGGTTATATAAAACAAACAAACAAACTCATTTTAGCAATTTAAAAAATCAATCCAATTAATAAGCAGGCAGTAGATCTCAACAGATTATTGACCAAGGAAGATATCAGGCCAGTAGATACATGGCTTTCACTTTTAATAAGGGAGATGCAGGATAAGCCTATCGATATCATCTCATTCCCACAAAAGAGGAAACTACTGAAAAGATCACCATCAAGTGGTGGAGAGGATGCAGGGGAGAGGAGCCTATTGCTGTTGGGGGGAATATAAACTGAAGCAGCCAATTTGGAAAGTGATCTAGATTTATCTCAACTAAAGATGGAAATACCCTAAGACCCAGTAATGTCGCTTCTTGGCATCTAGCCAAAGAACACGAAGTCAACATCCCCTAAAATTGTGTTCCTGCAATGTTTGCTGCAGAGTTACTTACAATGGCTAGGACTTGGAACATAAGTGCCCTATGATGGAGGGTTGGATAAAGATGTGGTTTATCTACACAATGGACATTTGCATAACTGATAAGTCAACAGAGCAAAATATTTACAAAACTGAGTGGATGCCAATAAGGAAGTAAGATTTCTGGAGCTAAGAGTTGGGGGGAGGAACTAAGGGCCAAAGGTTTGAGTAAATTAAAAATAATAAAAATTTACAGAAAGTTTGTGAAGTTTTTCAGCTCTTCTTTTCTAAAAGGCATTATCTTCTTTAAAAACCCCATTTCTTACTTAATGCTTACTTAGTGCTTTTTCTGTAGATGTAGAGATTTCAACATCCTTGTTGCTGGAGATACTTATCATGAATAAAGAATAACATTCGATAATAAAACATGGCAGTGTTCTCTCGCTTTTGGTGGTACATCAAATGATGATTTTAAAATCAAATACCTTTGCATTAGCTGAAATAATATGGGTAAAGACACCTAGAATGTCTGTGTCACAGAGGTTAATTATATGAGCAGCTCTTATTTTACGTCATCTTAAACTTAATCTTATTTTACATCTCCATCCATCCAATTGTTCCAATTGGCTATCTTCAATTTACTGTTTCCGGTGGTGACATTTTGTATATTCACCTATTGTTTTATGTGAATTATATTTGTTTTCTGATAAGGTTATAAGTTCTGAGGCAGAAGAGAGGCAGGCAGTGGCTTTTGAATATGCTGGGCATTTAGTTTGCAATAAAATAATGGAACCAGAAGAGGTCTTGCCAGATATTTTGGCCCATTCTTCCTCCTCCACCCTTTCTCCCCCATTGAGGTAAGTTAATGACTCAGCTTTCTAGGAAAGATCATCTTTTACGTTGTTAGAATTTCCACATTTTTTTCACATAAGATGGTTTTGCAAATTAGTTTTGAATTAACTTAAGTCATAGAATTTGGCATCATCTTGAAATAAGTAACATCTTTGTCTGGATGAATGGCACTGACAGTCACCCTGCAGAAACCAGCAAGAGAGAGCACAAGCTGTGCTTTCAGACAAGTTTCACTACCCAGGGCCTCTGCCATGACTGCCCGGGGAACCTAGGTGTACACTGTGTGTTTGAAGACAGTAGAGGGGGAAAGGTCAACAGCTAGAAGCAGAGGTTATTCATTTTTTATGTTGTTAACAGCATATACATTTGATTTTTAGATCTATCTGTTAAGAATGTGAGATGTCAACATTATTTCTAGTGAATAAATTGCATCTTTCCTTCCTGGGAAATATTTAAAGCTACTATCACTGGACTAAGCTAGAATCAAAGTACCAGAATTGAAGTCATCAGTAATGAGTGGTGGGATAATATAGGCAAAGACTCACGATGTAAGTGAGCATTGCATTTGCATTGTTAGATACATGGAACAAATGGAATGTAGGATTTTGTAGTGAGAAGTGTTGACATTGTCACCAGTACACTAGGGTCTCAAATAGAAAGCTGGAAAATTTCCCTCATTTTGGAAAAAGTCAGGATATTAGAGCTTTTGATAATTGGTCGGTGATAAATAAAATGTATGGCATGGGAAAGATATGTTTTGCCAGCCTAAAGTGATCTGTTCTTGGATATGATTGGAAAATCATCGAGTGAAATATGAATCTGTGGTATGGTCTTATATAAAATGTGAAAGGTATTTGAGAAAATCAGCATCTGTGGCTAAAACCTACTCAATTTTCAGAACAGAAGGTTGAAGGAAAGTGAACTAATTATAAAAGGTTCATGGCATTTTTGAAAATTGTTTTACTTAAAAGTGTGCCACTGGCCCTCCCTGGTGGCGCAGCGGGTTAAAGCACAGCACTGAGAATCTAAAGCCACTTCCGCATGAGTTCGATTCCCGCCTGCCCCGGAGGTGACCACATGGCGAGGCAGACCTCTCCTGACCCGCCCGCTGCTCCTCTCAGCAGTGTACTTGGTCCATCTGCCTGTTCTGTTCCCCACTCTGTCTCTGGTGAAGCCTCTCACCATCCCTGAGCCTCTGGCCTGTACCCCAGTTCTGTATGCACAAATAAATAAATCTTTAAAAAAAAAAAAAAAAAAAAAAAGTGTGCCACTAAGTTGCTTTCTTTTGTTAGACTTAGGAAGTTTGTTGTTTTTTTCTGTTTTCCAGTTAAGATTTCTAATCAGGACTGAGATGGTAAGATTTGGTCTCAGTGGTGATGTTATTTAGTGAAATCATGAGTTGCAAGTCTGTTTGCCTATGAACAATTCCTTTTGAAATGTGCGAGAGATGTGTAAATGGAAGTGGTAGCTGTTTCTTTCAAGCTGAATGATCAAAAACATTTTTAGTGTATAACAGTTATTGAACATGTCTTTGATACTAGAACTTACAATGTAAGGAATGCCACACAGAAACTGGCACAAATCCAGGTGTTAAGTTCTTCCATCTTAAAAAGGAAAACTTGTACAAAGTCAACTCAAATTTTCTTTCCACGAACAGTAAGATATTGAGAAATATCGAAATTCAGAAATAATGTATTGCATTACATTATTTAGAAGCCTTTTGTCAACATGTATAACAGTCATGTTTTTTAAAATATCACTGGGTTTCTTGGGCTATTTCTCCTTATGAGAGTGGTAAGATAGTACTTAAAGTAGTTTCCTTAATTCTATATCTTTTCATTAATTGCATTTAAATCTTTTTATAAAAATAAAAGTTTAAATATTCATTGCCTTCTCTTGTGTACTTCACATAACTCACGTTAACTTATATTCACTAGTTCTTATGAACTAGATAGGAAAGTTACTCTGATTTTATAATAAATATACAATATATATGTTAGTTGTAAAAGTAGGAAGAAAATTTAAACAATCTGTCATCCCTTAATATATCAATGAGATCATTTGACTTTGGCACCATCTCAAACTTAATTTTGCTACTAATTTGGACAATAATGTCTAGAGTTGAATTTTGATCTTGGAGGATGAAAATCTCTAGTAATTTCAAAACCAGTGGTCAAAGCATCTGCTCCAAACAGAGAAACCAGTCAGAGACATTTGAGAATGTTTCCCCAAAAGAGAAGAGAAAAAGTTAATTTCTGTGAATTTGGAATACATGCCTGACATTTTAGCCAGGAATGTTGAGCGCTGAGCGTGGACGGGCTTCCCGACTACAGGTGTGACAGAACACAGCTGATCAAACAGGACAGGAATTCAACATCACCGTCTGTTTAACTTCAGCTGTCCAATGAGCCATGCCCAATCAGGAAGCCAGAGGGAACCCGGAGGAGACTTGTATAAGGTGTAGTGTCATGCTAAGAACACTTCCATAAACACAGCTTTGAGCTTTGATTTGCTAAATGTTTGGGCCTCAGCGGTATACCAAAGAGGTTACAGTTGTTCAAGT